GAAAGTCCTTAAGCCGACGAAATTGCTTTCCAAATTTACTGCTGCCTCGGCGGTACTTTGCTGCTCTTATTAGAAAACTTTCCCAGGAGGTGGTCTCATTTAATTTGTGTTGCAATTACCGAGCAAATCGCAATTTTATTACTTTTACTTGGCAGTTCAACAAGTTTTAAAGAGCCTTAAATCGAACTTGGGCTCCAACCCGTTGCCAAGGTGAAGGTGGCATAAGGATGGGGGATACCAGCTCCTTTGGGGTAACCCTAAACCGAAGCCCAAATCTAAACCTGAACCCCTTTTTGAGCAACAGATGCCCTTCGGAATGATGTTCATCTCAATGCCCAGACCCGTGAGAACCCACGATAATGATTACGTTCACCCGTCCTTGTTGCTTCTGTTGATGTCATAATAATAATAATAACAACGAAAACAGCAACCCAAGGAGGAGGCCAAGGCAAATAAAAACAAGGAGTAACCAAAATAAAGGAGCCTCGGGAACCGGGGCATCTGCGGTATCTGGGGGATCTGACCCCATAAGGAACAGTTCATGCTAACGACATCCAGATAAACATGAGACCAAACCCAAGACCAAGAATCAGCCAGAACAACCATTTGACATTGGCTAGGACTCACGGACAGAAAATTTGCTGCCTGTTGCCGTCCGTCGGCAATTTATATGCCAAGCGAGCCAGCCGGAGAGCGAAGGAGCCGAGCCCCAAAGCAAATTGAATCGCAAATAAGAAACTGACATGGTCGATCGACTGGCAGATACCCCTTTTGTATATATACATAGGGATCCGAGGCACACCATAGGTCGTAAATAACATTGTGTCTTGTGGAATGCCTTAAAGGCACACACATGAGACAACCAATGTTGAAGCTATTTTATAGATACTTTTCATAGAAGACTTTTTGAAAAATATGCCTGCCTTCCAAAGATTTCTAACTCAATAGAAACCTTGCATTACTTTGCTTATTTAGTTTTTAATCCAAGAACTTAATTTAAATTTAAAATTGATTTTTAAAGTACTTTAATTGGCGTCTCACTGAGTTTCTTTTTCATGTTTTAAATATATTTCCCTTAGTGATTTACTTAAATTCTAAGCTGTACATAGGATCACTTAGCTATTAGCCCCAGCCCTCACAACACTGTTTGGTAATATTCCCACAAGTAATCAGCTTCTTGCGGGGCGAGCTGCTCTCAGGTTGGCAGACTCCTGAGTCCTGACAACCGAGCCGGGATTCAGGGAGTGCCTGAGTGCCTCCAAATGGGCTTAGGCGAGAGGGCACTGCGGTTGTTTGCTCCTCTTCACGCTCATATGAATGGGAAACGGCTGGCAGTTAGGCAGCTTGCCACAAAACGGAGACGGAGACGGGGAAGGGGACGGAGATGGAGCCTGAGACAAGGACGAAGACAAGCACTTGGATGCAGACTCCGTTTACTTGTCAGTCAGTTAAGCAGCTGGGCCATTCCGGGAATTTGCCCGCCGGCCACAGGAAATGCTACACGAGCGGCAGCAGTGAAAGCCAAAGTCGCACACGACGATGATAACTTGTAAGTTGGTTGGATTTCCGTCTGCCCCGCTCCGATTTGCCCGATGGATATGGCATAAATTTCAATTTTAGATTATGTGTGCTTAATAAAATATTTGCTCTTATCTTTGCTTCAGTTTTTTCTGCGGTGCTTTGTACATATTTTATGTTTGACTTTTATGTGCTCGCCTCGCAGCATCCTATTTGCGGTGTTGTCTACACAAAAAAGAAAAGGTGGACTAGTCGCCTTGAACCCCAAAGGGAATCTTTAATTTGCTGTCTGTCGGAGGAGCAGCATTTAGGGCATGTGGCAAGCAGCCTAAATGTTGGCTAATTAACAAATGCCACGCACAGTGTGGTTGTCTGAGATACCTGTCGGGTTTTAACTAATGGAAACGTTGCCTTTACACCCGGGTAGCTTATCTAAAGCGCGGCGCGGAAAAGTAGGCAATGGTTTTCGACCTAGCCGGAGTTTTCACTGCGCGCTGCAAGTGTGTTGGTTATTTAAGGTCCCATAACTCAATCTAAACGTCCTCACTCCCACAACCACCCCTCCCTCCCGTGGATTATACAAATTTATGCAAGAGTCCTGGCACTTTGTTGCCTACCTTTTATTTTTTCGCTTCCCCAGTTCCGTTGGGGATTTTTATGGCAGCACTACTCCTCCCACGGCTACTGGCTCTTTTTTTTTATGAAGCCCCACTACATGGTTGCTGTTGCTGCGCATTTCCTGGTCACGGCTGTATATCTACACCTATATCCGTGACTGTGCCGGAGAGATGGGCTCTGATTTTCATTAAAGAGCAGCGCGAAGGCCTACTGGCGAAATAAAGAGATTTATTGCAACCGCAGACGCACGCATCGACTTCAAAGTGGCTTGGCCAGCAATTTAATTTTTATCTCTGGACGGTCCGCTTTAAGGAGTTCCTTTAAGAATATATCAAAAATACGGCATTTAATTGTGGGAGCTAGTTTATGGCAAGTTTCCCCCAGGAGCGTGTTGCCAAGCCCAGCGATGCCCCCGAGACCATCATCGATGTGTGTGGTAGCTGGCCCCAGAGTTTGTTCGGTTCTCTCGGCTTTCTTGGCACTTTGCCATCGAGGATGGGGCGGTGGTGGCGAAACTGGCAACGTTAAAACAAACATTATTACCAACGGCACCGCAAGGCATTCAACTTGAGTGGCTGTAAACGCTACAAAAGGCCCGCAAGGAGCGCAGGATGGGCAAGGAGCACCAGGACGTGCACTTACTCGATGGAGAAAAGGGATTATGGTTCGGGCAGCGGCCACAATGAAGCGCTTTAAAAGTTGGCAAAATAATTGCGCCAGCAATTGCATCCATTCACTCGGAACACACACATTAAAAAGTATTCCAACTGTCATTGCAAATGGGAAAACGGTTCCAGCAAGGAATCTCCTCAGTCTGGACCAGACAAACGACCGCTTTGGGAGCGTTTTATCCGGACACATGGCACGACATCGCCGACTCCATCGCCATCACCAACACCATCTCCACACAACACAAAACTTGAGCGTGCGAATGCCGCACGGCATCGTTGCCACTTAATTCGTGTAAGTTTTCCCCCGTTGACGTTCACACGCCGCCAGGACACCCGGCAAGGACTTTTTCACGAGAGAGAAAGAGAGCGCACCCTCATCTAATTGCCGCTCCGCTTTCGTTATAACTTAATAATGCAAAAACCTCAAAAATTCATGTTATGTCTGCGGCGACGTGTTTCAAACAATTTCACGCAAAAGAGCCTCGAGCGTCAAGTGAAAAACTGGGGCGGGACAGCAGTAAATGAGGCTTTGTGCGATGGTGTCTAAGGGATAACTAAGACAGGACAAATGTCCCGGAGGAAATTCTTCACATAATAAACCCCAAAGGCAGTGAGAGAAAATACAAAGTTCTGAATCAAGGGAGCATTAGAGTATATCTAGCCTTTTAAGTTGTACTTGGCATTGTCTACTGCACACATATATTCAAAGTCCTTTTAGTTCTTTACATATTTTCAATTATAATACGATTAAAAGTTCACTAGGCATCAGAAACATTTAATTATTAACCCACTTAAAACTTAAATATTCAACACTTTCCATAAGAATGATGAAACTTGGCATTGTCTACTGCACACATATATTCAAAGTCCTTTTAGTTCTTTACATATTTTCAATTATTATACGATTAAAAGTTCACTAGGCATCAGAAACATTTAATTATTAACCCACTTAAAACTTAAATATTCAACACTTTCCATAAGAATGATGAAGCTAAACGGTTTTAATTAGTTTTATCGTCAGTTGTCTCCTTTTGAGAGAAACTTTTTGTTAGTGTAAAAGGTCCTGTCTGCACTCTAATTAAGTCAGTAAGTAAATCATGATTAGTCCCCATCAAAAGTGAAAGCAGTTCCCAGATTTTCAGTCTGCCTAATTCCCGACATATGCTGGCCATCCGTCCGGGCCATAAATCATCTTAGAGCGGCTACCCAGCTCCTAACCAGGCCGACAGACCACGCCTGACTTATATGTGGCCATGTTGCGTGTTGCCCGACAGTTGGGACATGGCCATGAAAGCCGCAAAAACATATGCAAACGCAGTTAACTGAGTGCGGCTGTCGTCTGCCAAATGTTTGTCAAAATGAATAAATTTTGCAAAATTAATTACAGCCCCGGCAGAGCGAACTCTGTTTCCCCGGGTGTTAATGGTTGGGGCGGCACAGGAACAGGAACAGGGACGTCTGGCCTGCCTTTGTCGTTGTCACCCAGCACGCAGCCAGGACAATTGGGCCATGGTCACACAGCGGGATATGAGACCCGCAATGGGGGAATAAGAGAGAGCTCCAGAGCTGGAGCCGGAGCAGGTGCTGCATCGTAGGAGGACTACGCACAGTGTTTGCCATTTTGCCAAAAGCCCGAATAAACTCCGCTCCCGGCCAGTGCCATCGCCATTGCCAAATGGCAGCTGGTGTGGCAATTAAAAGTCCCAATTATTCCGACTTTAATCGATTCGCGGCGCACTTTCTCACGCACATCCAGCCTGTCTATTCCCAGAGTGGAAATTGCGAGTTTGCCGAAGGACTCCTCCGGGAGTTCGCGTTGCGTGACATGGAGAATGTGGAATTGAGGGGGACTCCATGTATGTGGGCACAACTTAACCCACTTTTCCGCTATATAGACCCCGAAAAAAATGCTTTTCATCAACATTTTTGACACATGTAGGTTAAGGAATAGCAAAATACTAACTATATATGTGATATCTATTAGATTTCATAAGGACATAACTATGGTTAAGGTTTGTTTATAGGAATAGAACCATATTAAGTCTTCGTATTAATATAATAATGTTTTGCATATAAAAGCTACTATTCTGAATTGAAATAATACAAGGAATACTATTTGTGAATGATTCAATTCTTTGAAAAATATGCAAAGTGCGTAGGAACTGTATAAAATAAGCTAAGAATGGTACTCACTCTGATTCATTGTTCTCGAAGACCAGTTCACCGCGCGCCTCCTCATAGTCCTTACCCTCGATGGCGGAGTCGCCCTCGGTCCAGTAGGGAATGATGACAGTGCCACGGGCACCGGAGTAGCGCATGACCTTCAGTTCGAAGCGACCGACGGATTCCGAGATCTCAAAGGACGAGTCCGTGAAGGCGAAGATGCCAGCATGGTCGTCGTCCAGGATCATGACGGTGGCAATCATTGGCACAGCAAGTTTGACGTTTTCGGAGGGGCTAAACAGCCGAATGTAGAAGCACTCGTCCTCCTCAAAGACATCGTCGTCGATCACCTCGATGCGGAAGCGCTGCTCATCCACGCCTGGTGGAAAGCTGAGGTTTCCCTTCTTACCGACATAGTCGTTGCCGGCGGAAGCGGTGCCATCCTGCGTCTCGTACTCCACGCTGGCGTAGGTCGAGAGGTCACCACGACGCACCACGCGAACCTCGAACTCGCCACAGTTCTCCATGACCGTGTAGTGACCCGGCTCGAAGTAAATGCGGGTGGGCTCGTCGGTATCGTCATCGTCGGTCGGGTGGAGCTGGGCCTTCACCTCGGTGAGGTCGCTATGGGCCCGCTCCTGGATCTTGCGCATCAGGTTGCCGCTGCCGACCATCTTCCGGGTGGCCTGGATGCGGTAGAAGGCGCGCGACTTGTTGCTCCGCGCCAGCACCTGCTCCTGGGCCATCATCTCCAACTGCTCAAGATCGGCCTCAGGGTACTTCTGACGAAGCTCCGTCAGCACGCTGATGTACTCCTTACGGGCCTCGTCGAAGGCCTCGGCATCGTTGGTGCGCTGAGATGTGGCCGCCGATTGCTTGGTGCCCTTCTCCGCATCCATTTCCACCTGGTCGTGCTCGCCGGCGACCACAGTGCCGCGCTTGTTGACCCGGTAGTTCTTGTCCATGAACTTGTACACCAGCAGGCGACGCTCCGCGATGTAGGCCCACAGTACGGTGAGCGGGAAGAAGAGTAGCGTCACGATGGCCTCCCAAACCAGGATGACACCGGGCGTCAGCACGGAGAGGATGAGCCACAGCCAGACGTAGGCGAAGATGGAGAACGCGGCGGTCACGAAGAAGACGCGCAAATGCCGGATACGGCGCACCTCGCCAGCAGGTATCCAGACCATGCACACGGCAATGATCATGAACAGGTTGTAAGCGGCCGAGCCCACAATTGTTCCGGGTCCAAGGTCACCGCTGTCGAAGTCCTTTGCGTAAATCTCAATCACGGACAGCAGGATCTCGGGGGCACTGGAACCGAGGGCCATCAACGTAAGATTGGCCACCGTTTCGTTCCAGATGCGGACATGCATCACTTGCTTCTCATTATGGGGTCCTCGCACTGTCACCGTTCGCTCGATGGAAGTGATGGCTTCGATGGCGGCCATGAAGCGATCAGCAATTATGGACACTCCCACAAACAGATAGATGAGCAGCAGGAAGTAGGCGAAGCCACGGAGGAGGCGGTCGCCAACGGAGAGATTCCGCTGTGGCAGCCACAGGGGCAGGACAAGGCCCTTCTTGCACTCGCGCAGCTCCCCCTTGTCCGGGCTGTCTGAGCTGTCCGGGTTTTTCCTAAGGTTCTCATCGAATTCCGAAATCCCCGCTTCAGCGTCCTCGCCATTAGTAAACTGCCGGATCCTTCGGCTGAGGAAGCTGCTCTGGCCATCCTGGGTGACATTGATGCTGACGCCGTAAAGCTCCTGCCTCGTCTCGTCCCTGTGGAGCCCGATCAGCGACTGGGCGGTGGCGTACACGAAGATCACGAACAGTGCGCAGGTGAATATCGACTTGAGTAGCAACTGCATGGCTGGCTGCGATCTGGCTACTGGTAACTATGGTATGCTTGTGGATCTGCTGCTCCTCCTGGAAGTAACTGGACACTGCTCCTCCTCGTTGGCCTGACTCTGGAAGCTTTGTTGCGTGCAATTTGGCTGTGGTTTTGTGCTGTAGCTGAAACGGGAAACGAAGAAGAGGTGAGGAGAGCTTGGTTAGTTGGCTTGCACTCATTGCGAATGTTATTCTTGGGCGGCCTATTTCGGGCTCATTGCATCACGAGTGTCGCCAAGCAATGCCACTGCGAAGGTTGCAAAGGCCCGCAAATAGTCGCTGCGGCAGCCCACCCAGATAGCCAGATAGTTGCTGATGTCACACCACAGTGGTCTAGACCCATAAATACTAACAACTTTTTGAAATCATATAATAAATAAATCCAATCTAAAAACTAAGGGAAAACCAAGTGTTAAGTTCTGGAAAAAGTACCCACAAAATGAATAGTAAACTTTTGCTTTGTAAAACCAAAAACACTCATAATACTCATACTTCAAATAGATGAAATCACAATTTTTCTATAAAAATGTTTATGGAAAACGGTAATTAGAAACCAAAGCTGGTCAATTGTCCATCCATCTGGCATAGACTTATTTTTGTATAGCATTTTTGCTTTATTAAATTGTAACAACATTTCATTCCATTATGAGTCCAGAATATTCGAAATTCTCCGTATATTTAATTTAAATGAAGTCCTCAGTCCGACTGATGAAAATAAAACTTAATATTCGTTTATGAAAAGCTGGAAAATTCTTCAGCTTAATGCAAAGTCAAATATGTTGCCAGCCTCCTCTGCTCACAATATACATATAGTAAGAAATATATATTTCGACAAAAATGTTGCAAATTAACTTAGGGAAAAATGTTTCCCCTGTGTGTGTGTGGGTGGGCCGGTGGGGGTGTGTGGTTTTTCTTTGAGCTTTGCCAGGCCACTCGTTCAGCTGTTTTGTGTATTTACACGAAAACGAAATTAAATGCGTAAATAGACAGCATAAAACATAAACAAAAATGCAGCTATAAAACTTGCCAGAGCTGACGGAAAACTAGAGGCAAACAAAGTTAATTTTCCGGGAAAATGGAAGGCAGAAAGCGAGAGATAGAATTCAGCAGCGGAAAGTTTGTTGCAAATTGAATTGTAAACTGCAGCGGAATGAACGGTGCTTGACCGAAATCGATAATATATATATGTACATAATTCTGCAATGTCAATAGCGGCAGCTAGGACACAACCAATACCAAAACCAATACTCGTGCAGCCAAAAACATAAACGTCGGGTGGCAGCAACACAAAAGGCAACAAGTGAGTGACAAGACGGACCGAAGATAAATGCAGATAACGTGAAAGCGGAGGGGAGAATGGCACATGTGCAGATAACAACAATTGACAGCTGCCAGTGGGTGAGGCGCCAAGGGGGAGCAACAAGGGGGAAGCGCCAAGGGGGAGGCGCCAAGAGGTCGCAGAAAGACCCAGCTTTCATAACTTTCCGAAATAATCAAGAGCTGCACGCGGAAAAATAATTAATGCGATCACAAATCAAAGAAGTAAAGCAAAACTAAAGACAAAACTCATTATATGGACCAGAAACATATTAATATTAAATATTAATGAATTAATTGTAGAGCAATTGTAGAGCAATATTCTATTTAATTAAATTAATCGAGCTAGCTGTTTAGAAATGATTCAATTTTAATCATCTTTAACCAAAACTTAATGCCAATTAATACAAAATCCAAATTCAATTTAAAATCAAATCAAAACAAAATTTAGTTTCAACCTAAACTAGACTTTTGGTACTGTTATTTCGTGTGCAGAACAAAGTCAAAATTAGTTTGTGTGTCCCTTATGGAACTTGAATAAATGTGTTTCACTTAATTATGGCACATTTATTTAGTCCCTTTGTGTTTGTGTTTGGCTAGCCGAGGTTAATTATTTGTGTTACACTTATGGCTTGTTTATACATATTAACGGGCATAATTAATTCTGGCATTTTGCTCAGTGTCGCAGGGAAAGCTTTTATGTTGAATCGAGGGAGCATTTCGTCAACAGTTCGCCGTTTGAATTAAACTTTTGTGCTGCTCGACAACTTATGCATGTGCATTCAGACTTATGGAATATTTATAGCTGACTTTTCACGAATATGCACATTTGGATCACACCCACTCACACACAAACCGGCACAACACTAAGGCTCAGGCTTCGAAATCCAATAAATCAATATGCCCCTCGGGTTATGGCGAAGGGGCTAAGATAATCATCAGCGCTTGCATTAATTTAGCAATTACAACAAGAGCTGACAGCGCTATGGCGATATATAGATAAACGAAGAGCGGGATGGCCAGATGATGGGAGAGGAATGGCAAATGGCGGGACAGGGTCAGAGAGAGAGAGAGTAAGAGATAAAGAGCGGAGAAAGAAAGAAAGTGTGTGGAGATGAGACAAACAGACGCCCCTGGGAGCATAGACCATATGCTGCTCCGGCTTCCCGACTCATGGCCCTTCCGTTTTCCATTTTCCATTTGCCCTTTTTCCCCATTCTCCATTCCAGCGGTAAATTGCATTTGGCCATTATTGGAAAATTGTAGCACGTCGGGTTAAAAGAGATTGCAAATTAATTAAAAAGCTTTGCCCCCGGCCAGCTGCACTATTGCTTACGTTTATCAGCCTTTCGAGCTGCTGCGGATCTGATTTTTGGTAGGTAACGAAATGGCCCAAAGGCCGTAGAACAAAACTTAACGGATAATTCTAAATTTTTAAAATTAGCACAAACAAAAAATAAAATAACCGAGCGTCTCTGGCGATCGAACGCGCCGCGGTTCGCCAAGGACTGCGACTGAGAATGTGGCTGAGCGAATATGAAAGAGCATGAGCGTGGGAAACGGAACGGGAATAGCAATAGAAATACACAGAGAAAAAATCGAGACAAGATTATATAGTGTAAATAAATAATTAATGATAATCTCAATTAAAAATCAAGTACAAAAAATTGGGATTATAGAGAAACAGCCTAAGCATTAAGATACTAATATTTAATGTTGACAAAAAGTAAAAGTGTTAAGGCAATCAAAACAGTTTAAAGTATGTAAAACATTTAAAGTGTGCAAGTACATTTAAGTATACACCTGCTATTTTGTTGCAGTGTACAAATGAGAATAGGAATAGATTGGGGGAAACAAAACGAACCAAACGGAACTTTGTTTACGTTGCTCTGGCGCTGTTACGTTGCGCCACCTTAACGTATATAAATATACATATTCCGCTAGTCTTCCGACGGGTCGATGTCGATCCAATTTTTCGGTTTGGTCCCAAGTTCAAGGAACATTTCCCCCCGTGAAATCGTCTGGCAAATCAAACACAACGACCACGACAATGGGGATGTTAAGTAATTTCCCCGTTCAGATGTTTATATTTAACCCGCCAAGTTCGGTTATTCGTCTGCTGGCACAGATTTCGGATTCCATTTTTTCACGATTCACGAATCGCAATCGAATTTGGCACCCAACGCACGACTAAATCCACCGCCAGAATCCCCGGATCGCCACCTGTCCGTCCCGTCTGTCCGTCTGACTGTCCCCTCCTCGGTTTTTTTTTTTCCCCCTCCCCCCGCATTCTCTCTGACGGCATTTCTCTGTGATGTGCCTCTGTGTGTCCCCCAGTTCATAATTATTATAAAGCTTTAGCCTTTGTTCTATTTTTTGGCACTGCCGCGGATGGAAAACTACGTTAAAACATAGTGAAAAAAAGTGTTTCACACCCGCCAGTACATGGAAATGAAATATTTAAAAAGAGCCTAGAAATCGTATTTATAAATGTTGTGAAATTTTAACATATTGCTCAGCTATTTCGAGTATATAACTCAAGAGCTTGATTGGATATTTTTTGCTGATAAGTTTTAAACTCATTCAGTTACACCAAGAAAAAACTACAATGTTGAAATTGATGAAAAATTAGCTTTGCAAGAACTAACACTTTCCTTTTCAGAGGGATATTATTAAAATTGATTGCTTCTTATTTAATTATATGTATATTTCAGCAAGAACATTTTAGTTTTTATTATAGAGCCCCCTTAGAATACATACAAAATGTACATACATATGCACATATGTGATGAATCAATCCCCATTTTATTATTAACCACTCGTTTGGGGTCTGGCACTCCCCCCCCTTCGCACTGCACCCCCTATGATAATAATGCATTGCATTTTGTGGTTTGTTTATTATTCTTGTCTGCGGTCCTCGGCTAAGTTTAACATTTTGGTAGCCATGCGAAGACTGTGCTAATTCTGCTGCCCGTGCGCTTGCTCTTTTCAAGAGCACTTTCGTCGTGAACAAAAGACGCAATATGCCCGACAGATATGTGAGGATTATATACCCTATACTCATACCCATTCGGTTTAAGATATATGTACATATGTACATATGTATGTGGGGATGTGTGTTTGCTAGGTGGCCAACATAATTTATTCGCATATTTTGCGACTCCCAGCTAAGCGGCTTTCCGTGAGCATTTCATTTCTATTCCCACGCCACGTCGGTCCGCGTTTGTACATACAGCTACAATAATAGCTCACAGGACAAAGATAGAGATATTTAATAGAAAACCAATATACCAATTCTTCTAATGCAAGAGATTTCACTATCTTCAGGCTAGAGGGTGTATCCCCTCTAACCTTTCAACACAACAAGTTTAGGAAAAGCTGTTGCTAAGAGTGCACTTGAGATTCTCAAGTATGAATTCAGCTAAGAAGACCGATAAACAGAAAAAGAGTTAGCAAAACGAGCTATTACTGAAGCCTGCAGGGACAAAATATATATAAAAGTCAAGTCTCAATTTATGTGGAATATATCAGCAGATTATTCAGTCAGTTTTAAATGACCTTGTTAAACTTAAAAATAAATATCTTTCAAACTAATTCTCCGCTAGGAACTGATTATCACCTAATCAAAAATAGAGGAAATCGCTCAACAGTTATTTTGAGAGCATGGTTATTTTGATAAGAAAGTAGAACTGTAGCTATTACCGTGCCTCCAACTGTAGTCCTAGCTAAATCATTGACCATGTTACACTTCACTATGTGTGTTCGCAAGGATGCAATGTCCCATGGGATACGATACTCACACCGAG